CAAGACAGCAGTCAAGAAAGAAGTCATACGATATGTTTCTTTAGGATGTTAGATTTTTGACCTTTGCAGGCTTGCAAATAATTTTTCCTTGTACAGATGACATAATTATGTCCAACCAGTTAAGTCCATCAAACCAGAAGAGATGTCACATACTCATCATGTTGACTGTATAATTTGGTTTTAATTTATTAATATGCAAATTGCATTGTCAGTTACATAATGGTAGTGTAGTCAGGTCAACCTCTATTTAGCGGCCTTACCCTATTAAGTGGCCAATAATCAAAGTCCAGAATTAATAATTGTACAAAAGAACTGTATTATATTGTAACAAGAATGCTCTATACAGCAGCAGTCGGTCTCGCTTGCTTGGAGATTAGATCAAGAAATAAGGAAGCGATAAATTCTACACAAAAGAGGATTTACTCGCTAAAGGTTTTTTACTTTCTACTTTATTGACATTGATACTTTTTTAAATATTTGTTTCTGAATTGATTTAGTATGTGTGTTAGTGACAACTGGAAATATGTCTACGGTCGCAGACTACATGTGTTTATAAATACATGAAAATTCAAGGGCCATGATTCCAGAGAAATTGCATCATTGCCAGAGATCAAAAAAGTGATTTACATGACACGTCATTTCAATCATCCCCGAAAATAAATGGCATGCTCATCACAAGATCCATTTGCATACAATGAAAGTTTCCAACTCCTGGCCATCGCAGTTTTGCTAATTAAGATTCCTATTTTTTTCCAGCCACTCGTTAGTGTTCACTTGTTGCAACTTAGTAATCAATGCTTTCAAGCGATAAGAATTCGTGGACCAACATGTTTCAGAAAAGCTCTAAATTTAATCTTTCTTAAGCTTTCTTCTTAAAATATTTGTGGCTTTGATCGTGCATTGATTCTTAGTCTCAGTTTCAACGGTCTCCGCAAGGAAGGCCTGGCACAATGACCCCCCTTTTGTGCGTTAAATCTTACAAAAAAATTCGTTGCAGATTATGAGTCTGACTGTTTATGCATGCAAGACTAATAAGTGAAACCTCTAGATCCACTAGCAATAACATGTATTGTTTTATTTATTGTGCTAGGTATTTCAACCACTCCTTATGGAGTATTTCAGTTTTGAAGAGCTGAAAGAAATCAAGGCAAAAGTGTTACATCTCCATTCTGTTTATATTAATCTCAGCAAGGTAAGTTTTAACATTTCATTCTGTTGCCTGCAATTAATAAAGTGGAAATATACATTAAGCGATGATTATCCCTCATGATTCCTTATTTTTGCTTCCATTATAAAAATGGCTCTTTTTGTTAGAGGTCTATTTACAGGTACAGTCGAACCTCTATGTGCAACCACCTCTCATAGGAAACCACCCCTCATAAGCAACCACCCAACCAAAACACCAAAATATCCCCTGTCAAATCCCAATAATCAGAACCTCTCATGACTCTAAGTGACTGCAACCACTTTTTGGCCTTGTGGGTTTATTATAACCTCTTACAAGTAAGCTAACAAACACTTGACACCTGATGTGGTCTCTGTTTGCTGTATGTACATGTACTATCTCACTGCTTAGTGGTTAGAATAACAAGAACTTTCAGTGACAACATGGAGCAGCTCCTATACTTATGCATAACTGAGGCCCTGCCAGGGTAAATTCTGACAAGTGACTTGACCCAAAAAGTAGCAACAGAGCGTAAAATGAAATCATGACAAGATACAACCTCGCTCTGCCAAATTGCAACAGTGATAGCAAAGCCAAGAATAAGCGACAAGGAATGGTGGTTTGGCTAATGTATCACCTGTCCTGAATGCAAAGAAAACGCAACTTTTGTCAATTTTCCTTGCGCTTCAGAGAATGTCTCTTGTCAGTGAGCTTCAGGGGACCCTCCTGAGCGCATGTCACGTTACACTTTATGAAGGGACCTTACAAAAACATGACGGTGAAGGCAACGAGAACGTCTGAAAACTAAAAGGTTTAATGAGGAAAACAACAAGTCTGCACGTGCATCACGCTTTCTCATACATTTTGTTGCCGTCCCTACACAACTACGACACGAACTGACCAAATTTTAAGTTTACTTCAGAAAGGCAATGGCAAGCCGATAAATTCTACCATCTCTGTCTGAACTTGGGCGCGGTCCCCTCTCTTCACCTCCAACCTGAATTCCCTCTTTTTAAGTAACTGGGCGACTTGGGATAATTGCCAAAAAAAGTGAAAAGATGCGAAGTCTATTTTTCAGGAACATTTTCATGGACGTCGCCATTGTCAAATCGTTATGCAAGCCCGCACGACTCCTGAGACACCTGGGAATGAGGTTGTCCATCACATAGCTTAATTTTATGCACACTATGCTTTGCTTGCCCCTGAACTTCTAGACCTTCTGACATCCTTGTCAGGTAGAACCGTGAGAAGACCACTATTGCTTAATTTGTTGGCTCATCAGGCTGGCGCTTTCCTCTGTAAGTGTAGTGTGAAGTGACTAGTTCGAAGATACTACATCTCCATAAATGAGATGTTAGAAAATCGCAAGGCTTTCAATTCCTGGCCAGCATTATGATCGTGCCCTTGTAGAACCAGACATATGCAAAACCTATGCTCATGCTATTTGTTTACTATGTTGGACTATGTTTCAGCTATGTTATGTTCACTACTGTCTATGTATTAACTATGTAACACACCAAACAACATAGTCCAAAGTATGCAAAATCTATGTTGAAACTATGTTTAGGCTATTTGAAAAGCACATAGCTTTTGAATACCTATGCAAATACTATTCAAAATCTTTTCATAGTCTTTACATAGCTATGTATTTACTATGCAATAGAAAGTTCTGCTTTTCCTTCCGATTAGCATCCTATGTATTCACTATGCATCAAAGCAAAATAGTTTTTACATAGCATCTCGATCTTCATTTTTATTTCCAACAAGTTTCTTAGCTTTTACATAGTGCTATGTATATTCTATGCTATGTGATGAAACATATTTGCAGCCTATGTATTCACTATGTGACATTTTAATTTACCTTTATCATGAGATAAAGCTTACATAGCTTTTACATAGACGTATTTTTCCTAGATCACTATATCAATAATGTAGTCTATGCGTTTCCTATGTGATATTCCAACATAGCTTTTAAGTGACTGACATGTTGATAAGCATACTTCCAAAGTAAAAAGCAGTGTTTTAAACTAAAACACTGAAAAATCATGCACCATAATTCTTTTTGTGCTTGCAGATAGTTTCTTAGTGAGAAGATTTTTGTTAAGCATTGAATCGCTACATCCATCATCCCTGTCTTAACTTTCCTTTCTAGCTTTTCCCTAGAGTTTCTTCACTTGAAATGATACTTCCATGTATCATTTTCTTCTTTTATATTGGGTTCGATCCTTCGTCTTGATTGTGGACGTCTCCTGAATATAACTGCATGGTCAAAACTGCGAAACGTTAGCTGCAGTCCTCGGTGTTTGTCAGCCATTTTGTTTTCACTAGTTCCCAGGGAAGCCCGTGAGTTTAACACATGCGTATTGTGCGTTTTATCGTCACGTGGGCCTTTTCAACCAATGAAAAGGTGAGAAAATTGTCTGTTTCCACGCGGGCGCTTTCAAGTCAAAGAAGACGAGCTGTAAGCGTGCATTTTTACAAGATGACGCTTCTTTTTACTTCAATTTCCAGCCTTTTTCCTGCCAGGTTCAACAAAAAGTATTCCTAACATTGGTAAGTGATATTTTTCTCAATTAAGTTTCGATTTGCCTGTGTTGTCTCCCTTTTTCGAGTATCTGAACAAGGATCGGTCACCTTCGATTGCGCTTTGATACTCCTTCGTTTCAATTCTAAAACGTCAGGTTGTTTTTATGTTCATTTGCCTTAAAATCTCCACTTTTCTGTTAGCAGATACTTATTCGTTGCAGTCAAAAGGAAACTGTATGGCACTGAAGAGCACGACATCAGCAAAAAGTCTACACGATAAGCAAATTAGGCAAACTTTAACTTGGGGTTTCGATTCTGAAACCTCCATGAAAATACTGCATTTGTGCTACTATTAGTGTTCGTGGTATTATATTGCTATAGTTTTTCAATTTTTCGTTTCAAAACCTATTTCATACCAGTGTAAAAGGTATTCTAATTCATATGTTTATACCATTTTTACTATTTTGGTGATTTTTACGAGCATATTTCAAACACTACATTTGCTTAAGCAGATCGAAACCTACATACATAAGAGACTATGTCAATTCTATGTAATTTCTGTTTGAACTCTAGTTAAAGCCTGTGTATGTGATATGTTTTACCTATTCAAATACTATTAAAATCCTATTTCAAACCTATGCAAAAACTATTTGTTCTGTGTTTTCCCTATTTTAATGCTATGCAAAGTATATGTCACCTTTAAAAAGGCTATGCTTTTCATATGTTTTTACTATTTCTAGGCTATCTAAATTCTAAGCAAACCCTATTCAAAAGCTATTTAATCAACTGTTCCCTGTTCCGTTTTACTATGTAAACTCTATTTCAGTCCTATGTGAAGGCTATTTATTTTCTATGATTTTTCTATGAGGATGACTATGAAGTCTAAAATCTCTTTCCACAAGCTAAGTAAACTGTATGTATAGGCTATGTGGAAACTATGTCATTTCTTCCTTTATTCCTACCTTTAAAAACTACATAGCTTTTAAGTAGGTTCCGTTTGACTAGCGAAAACATAGCATTTTCGATACAAAAAACATAGTCCTGGCATAGAAACAACATAGGATCTGGTTAAAGCAATGTATGACTGATTGACATAGGTTTTACATAGCTTTGTGACATAGCATTTGCATAGATTCTACATAGTGTCTGATTCTACAAGGGTGGTACCCACTATGGGTGAAGAGAGACAATGTGATCCAGACTTAAGGTTCTTGTTTAAATGTAAGCAATACGACAGTGATGACGGTGGACAGACCAGGGATCAGGTACATATAACCTTACCACAGACCTTCTAACTGCTCTCACAGAGTAGACCACCATGCCTTCACGATTTCTCAGGTCAGTTAGTCTTAAAATGTTGATCGTGGATCACTTAAAATTTTGTGAATGGCAAGGTTTTTCTGATCAACACATGAAATTTCAACTGAGAAATTTCAGAACTGTAATGGTTTCTTTACAATGCATCGCTATGCCCCTTTTTTACAAGGTCCTAAAATTCCGACAAAGACAAAGAATTTTCGTTCAATTTCTGACAGCGTCATGAAGCATTTAGAAACACTGACACAAGACATTTTAAAATTCACGCGAGCAACATGGGACCCCTCCCTAGCAGGGCCTCAGAACTTAAATATTGCATGTAATAAATCATCTTCCAAAATTGGTTGGTTGAGATCTCTACTCAGAAGAGACCCCCTGTTTGTTGCTTCTCGTATAAGCAACCACTAAATCTTCTCATTTTGAGTGGTCGCTTATGGGAGGTTTGATCGGATTATTATAAACCTGCTATTTACAGCTCACATTCCCCTCACAATCAAATTCTTTTTCTTTTTCAGCACTGCAAGGTTGAAAGCACAGACTCTCCAGAAAAAGACAGTATTCAAATTGATAGTTCATCTGAACATGAGTCTGATCAAGACATTGATTTTGAAAAATCTGCTGCAGTAAGGACTAAAAATTCAAGTCTCAGAGCTCATTGCTCAAAAGAAAGGACTTCAGCATCAAATTTAGATGCATCAACTCATGACATTTTTGCAAATTTTACATTGACTGAAAGGAGTGTGGTAAATAAGACTTCAACCTCTGAAAGTGATGTTGGCACGGAACAAAAGCAATCTTTGCTTCTGCTCTTTCCTTCTGAAATCACACTTAAAATATTCTCTTACTTGGGACCCAAAGACTTATGCCGATGTGCCCAGGTTTGTCGCCTTTGGTCACAATCTGCAAGAGATGGCGAGTTGTGGCGAGAGCTTTACCCTGTGCGCTGGATTTTCAGGAAGGATTGGCGGTTTGGTGCAGATGTTGATGATATGTGCTCATGTAACTGTGATTCTGAGATTCAGAGTTTTGAGTCTGGATCTATGAACAGGTAAGTTATTATTGTCTGAAACTACTGGTTGGATTATCATTAGCAAGGAAGGGAATGAAAAGTGCGTCAAAAAATGGAACTTGTTTGAACAGGAATACGTTTGAGGATAGGCTCAGGGAAGCTCTGCAATCCTTTAAACGAGATTTTCTTCCACATATGAGGCACGAGGAAGAGGTAAACACCTGTGATTTAACTCATTTATTTTTAGGGTCGATGTGTAAGTTTTTGTCACTGCCAAATTTGAATCATGTCAAGATCTGAAAATGCAGGACATAAAATAAACTTTTTTCCAGGAGTCACTCAGGAGGTCTTTATATTTTTCCAAAGTGACGTAAGCTTAGATCTATTTAGCATTATGTTTTGTTAATTAATGTAGTTCTTATTAATGATGGATGTCATTTGTGAGCAATAGTGGTGAGTGGAATTGTTCCATATTGCATAATTCTTAAAGTCCTGTAAGTGGAAGGAGGTAAAGAATGGCCGTGGAGGTGAATTTGGGACTATCAAGACAGCAGTCAAGAAAGAAGTCATACGATATGTTTCTTTAGGATGTTAGATTTTTGACCTTTGCAGGCTTGCAAATAATTTTTCCTTGTACAGATGACATAATTATGTCCAACCAGTTAAGTCCATCAAACCAGAAGAGATGTCACATACTCATCATGTTGACTGTATAATTTGGTTTTAATTTATTAATATGCAAATTGCATTGTCAGTTACATAATGGTAGTGTAGTCAGGTCAACCTCTATTTAGCGGCCTTACCCTATTAAGTGGCCAATAATCAAAGTCCAGAATTAATAATTGTACAAAAGAACTGTATTATATTGTAACAAGAATGCTCTATACAGCAGCAGTCGGTCTCGCTTGCTTGGAGATTAGATCAAGAAATAAGGAAGCGATAAATTCTACACAAAAGAGGATTTACTCGCTAAAGGTTTTTTACTTTCTACTTTATTGACATTGATACTTTTTTAAATATTTGTTTCTGAATTGATTTAGTATGTGTGTTAGTGACAACTGGAAATATGTCTACGGTCGCAGACTACATGTGTTTATAAATACATGAAAATTCAAGGGCCATGATTCCAGAGAAATTGCATCATTGCCAGAGATCAAAAAAGTGATTTACATGACACGTCATTTCAATCATCCCCGAAAATAAATGGCATGCTCATCACAAGATCCATTTGCATACAATGAAAGTTTCCAACTCCTGGCCATCGCAGTTTTGCTAATTAAGATTCCTATTTTTTTCCAGCCACTCGTTAGTGTTCACTTGTTGCAACTTAGTAATCAATGCTTTCAAGCGATAAGAATTCGTGGACCAACATGTTTCAGAAAAGCTCTAAATTTAATCTTTCTTAAGCTTTCTTCTTAAAATATTTGTGGCTTTGATCGTGCATTGATTCTTAGTCTCAGTTTCAACGGTCTCCGCAAGGAAGGCCTGGCACAATGACCCCCCTTTTGTGCGTTAAATCTTACAAAAAAATTCGTTGCAGATTATGAGTCTGACTGTTTATGCATGCAAGACTAATAAGTGAAACCTCTAGATCCACTAGCAATAACATGTATTGTTTTATTTATTGTGCTAGGTATTTCAACCACTCCTTATGGAGTATTTCAGTTTTGAAGAGCTGAAAGAAATCAAGGCAAAAGTGTTACATCTCCATTCTGTTTATATTAATCTCAGCAAGGTAAGTTTTAACATTTCATTCTGTTGCCTGCAATTAATAAAGTGGAAATATACATTAAGCGATGATTATCCCTCATGATTCCTTATTTTTGCTTCCATTATAAAAATGGCTCTTTTTGTTAGAGGTCTATTTACAGGTACAGTCGAACCTCTATGTGCAACCACCTCTCATAGGAAACCACCCCTCATAAGCAACCACCCAACCAAAACACCAAAATATCCCCTGTCAAATCCCAATAATCAGAACCTCTCATGACTCTAAGTGACTGCAACCACTTTTTGGCCTTGTGGGTTTATTATAACCTCTTACAAGTAAGCTAACAAACACTTGACACCTGATGTGGTCTCTGTTTGCTGTATGTACATGTACTATCTCACTGCTTAGTGGTTAGAATAACAAGAACTTTCAGTGACAACATGGAGCAGCTCCTATACTTATGCATAACTGAGGCCCTGCCAGGGTAAATTCTGACAAGTGACTTGACCCAAAAAGTAGCGACAGAGCGTAAAATGAAATCATGACAAGATACAACCTCGCTCTGCCAAATTGCAACAGTGACAGCAAAGCCAAGAATAAGCGACAAGGAACGGTGGTTTGGCTAATGTATCACCTGTCCTGAATGCAAAGAAAATGCAACTTTTGTCAATTTTCCTTGCGCTTCAGAGAATGTCTCTTGTCAGTGAGCTTCAGGGGACCCTCCTGAGCGCATGTCACGTTACACTTTATGGAGGGACCTTACAAAAACATGACAGTGAAGGCAACAGGAACGTCTGAAAACTAAAAGGTTTAATGAGGAAAACAACAAGTCTGCACGTGCATCACGCTTTCTCGTACATTTTGTTGCCGTCCCTACACAACTACGACATGAACTGACCAAATTTTAAGTTTACTTCAGAAAGGCAATGGCAAGCCGATAAATTCTACCATCTCTGTCTGAACTTGGGCGCGGTCGCCTCTCTTCACTTCCAACCTGAATTCCCTCTTTTTAAGTAACTGGGCGACTTGGGATAATTGCCAAAAGAAGTGAAAAGATGCGAAGTCTATTTTTCAGGAACATTTTCATGGACGTCGCCATTGTCAAATCGTTACGCAAGCCCGCACAACTCCTGAGACACCTGGGAATGAGGTTGTCCATCACATAGCTTAATTTTATGCACACTATGCTTTGCTTGCCCCTGAACTTCTAGACCTTCTGACATCCTTGTCAGGTAGAACCGTGAGAAGACCACTATTGCTTAATTTGTTGGCTCATCAGACTGGCGCTTTCCTCTGTAAGTGTAGTGTGAAGTGACTAGTTCGAAGATACTACATCTCCATAAAATATTAATGGGATGTTAGAACATCGCAAGGCTTTCAATTCCTGGCCATGATTGTCGTACCCACTATACGCTTGGGTGAAGAGAGACAATGTGATCCAGACTTAAGTTTCTTGTTTAAATGTAAGCAACACGGCAGTGACGACGGTGGACAGACCAGGGATCAGGTACATATAACCTTACCACAGACCTTCTAACCGCTCTCACAGAGTAGACCACCATGCCTTCACGATTTCTCAGGTCAGTTAGTCTTAAAATGTTGATGGTGGATCACTTAAAAGTTTGTGAATGGCAAGGTTTTTCTGATCAACACATGAAATTTTAACTGAGAAATTTCAGAACTGTAATGGTTTCTTTACAACGCATCGCTATGCCCCTTTTTTACAAGGTCCTAAAATTCCGACAAAGACAAAGAATTTTCGTTCAATTTCTGACAGCGTCATGAAGCATTTAGAAACACTGACACAAGACATTTTAAAATTCACGCGAGCAACATGGGACCCCTCCCTAGCAGGGCCTCAGAACTTAAATATTGCATGTAATAAATCATCTTCCAAAATTGGTTGGTTGAGATCTCTACTCAGAAGAGACCCCCTGTTTGTTGCTTCTCGTATAAGCAACCACTAAATCTTCTCATTTTGAGTGGTCGCTTATGGGAGGTTTGATCGGATTATTATAAACCTGCTATTTACAGCTCACATTCCCCTCACAATCAAATTCTTTTTCTTTTTCAGCACTGCAAGGTTGAAAGCACAGACTCTCCAGAAAAAGACAGTATTCAAATTGATAGTTCATCTGAACATGAGTCTGATCAAGACATTGATTTTGAAAAATCTGCTGCAGTAAGGACTAAAAATTCAAGTCTCAGAGCTCATTGCTCAAAAGAAAGGACTTCAGCATCAAATTTAGATGCATCAACTCATGACATTTTTGCAAATTTTACATTGACTGAAAGGAGTGTGGTAAATAAGACTTCAACCTCTGAAAGTGATGTTGGCACGGAACAAAAGCAATCTTTGCTTCTGCTCTTTCCTTCTGAAATCACACTTAAAATATTCTCTTACTTGGGACCCAAAGACTTATGCCGATGTGCCCAGGTTTGTCACCTTTGGTCACAATCTGCAAGAGATGGCGAGTTGTGGCGAGAGCTTTACCCTGTGCGCTGGATTTTCAGGAAGGATTGGCGGTTTGGTGCAGATGTTGATGATATGTGCTCATGTAACTGTGATTCTGAGATTCAGAGTTTTGAGTCTGGATCTATGAACAGGTAAGTTATTATTGTCTGAAACTACTGGTTGGATAAAATAATATTTACAACAAACTTGGAATCAGACAAAGCGCTGCCACATATAATACCCTATACACTCTTTCATTACCAATAGTAGCCCAGTATTCTTTCCAGAAATTTTAACACTGGGGTCCACAGGACCCATAGTTGATAGAGAAACTAAAAGGGGTTCATGAGGAAGAAAAGTGGCTCACAATTTTTAGATACAGTCAACGCCAACTCAACGTTTTACAGCTATGGGTTAGAGTAAATACTTGATACTTTCTAAAAAAGTAGATGTCCTTGGGACCCCTTGGGCTAATCATAGTGTGGCATTAAAATTGAAAAATGCCCCGGTCTGGTAGGAAAACTGGTGGCCACAGTAAAAACAAACAATAAGCACTGAAAAAGTGCGGCAATGTCACAATGCCCCGGTCTGGTAGGAAAACTGGTGGCCACAGTAAAAACAAACAATAAGCACTTTACTTTTATTGTTACCTGCTGCTTTGGAATTACTTATTTCATGAAGTAACTTTTCTTGTGTGTCAGTATGACTCCTCATACTGCTGCATTATTATGAGTCCATGCCAGGGTAAATTCCGACAAGCGACATGGTCCAAAAAGTAGCGACAGCGCAGAAGTCAGTTCAAAAACTTAACAAGACCATTTTTACGAAATAACTCAATAAATTATTTAAAATGCCATGTGGGACATATGACCCACTT